TCAGCAATTATCCTTGCCACTTTTATCGCGGGAGCTGTCTTTAAGGGTCACCACGCCACTTACCACGTATGCAGTCCGGGGATCGAACCCAGGGTCAGCTTCCGCCCTTCCGAACCAATCCTTTCGTTCCTGCGAGACCTGCAACTTTGCACCAGACTCGTTCGGTATTATGAAAGCTGGTTAAACATCGGCTGGCCCTCAAAGTTCATGCTCCGGATCACATTCTTTATGCCACTAGGATACTGAGTGGAGGTGGAAGCATAGCGCGCCCCAAAAGCGGATTGATTGACATGAAATTTTTGCCTTTTCTTTACCAGGGTCACCTTTTATTAGTCTCAACTCTCATGTCTTTCAGAGAAATCAGCAGAAAGGCTGAATTTGCTAATGAGAAACTATGTGCTGAGGCGGGAGAAGAGCTTCCTATCACCACTATCGGAGAAGCCTCTTGTCTGTTTACTAAGACAGTTTTTTTTATACAGAGGTCGTTGGATAGTTTGCATAATTGTTCAGGTCGAACTCCCTGAAAAACATAGCCATGAGCATATGCTGCAGTTTTCTGAGAGCGAGCGTAAGGCATATGATCTGATGTATGAAGCGTCAAGGTGGGTGTCATTAGGTTTGAATAATACTTCTCATTCCCTAAAGGAAAATGCGTCAAAATGACTTGCTCGAAAACTTGCGAAGTTGGCCGTTATTCAGTTAGAACGAAGCAATGTCTGCTCATATACAGATGCAACTAAGCCAAGAGAATCCCGTGCTCTTCGCTTTTTTAGCGTCCTTTAGAGCACTAGTCGCGATCCAAGCTTGAACCTTCCCAAAATTCCATTGAACTAGATAGCAGTGTCACCGCCTCTCTTCGTACTTCACCATCGTTTACCTAGCGAAGAGAATGACGATATTTGTGAATACCTTAAGCTGTGTTCATATTAGACTGCGTCCTCTTATGTTTCGAGCGTCTGACAGCGTGTACCAGCATCTCCCAGCGTTCACCAGCGTCTCGAGCGCCTTGGAAGTATGGTATCGATCTAGCGTATATCAGCATAGGCCAGCGTGCTCCAGCGTCTACTAGTGTTCGGTAGAGGAGAGTATGGTGCGAAAGGTTGGTAGCCAGTCGGTAGAGTATGGATAAGGAGTATCAGGCTGCTGGTAGAAAGTATGGCGCGATCTGAGGATAGAAGACGGCTGGTACCCTCCTATCTCGCCATTCTCTCTACCAGCTGTCTGCTACCCTCCTATCGCGCCATACTCTTCTCTCCCGGACGCTGGTAGACGCTGGTGCACGCTGGCACACGCTGGTAGAAACTAGATCCACGTCTATACATTCCCAGTCGCTGGCGCTGCCGTACGCTCGAAATGTCAGTGAAGGCACCGCGAAGTATGAACGCAGTCTTAGTCTCTTCCTTTTCGCTGGATTCCTGCCCTCTTTTGAAGACAAATTGTACTCTCACCTGTGTGAATCTTGGACCTGGTCGTGTGCGAGGTAAATAAGTCTGCAGATGCAGTACCGTGCCACTTCCTCCTGCTCAAATATGCACGGGAACGGGCTGGAGTGTAACGATGCGTAAGTGCCGTTCGGAACTCCGCCCCGCCGCTGCCACATCAGTAGTATACTTCTCAGGCCCTCGAGACGCTGGTGCACGCTGGTAGACGCTGGCAGGCGCTAGATCTACGTCTATACATTCCCGTCTATACATTCGTCTTGTGCGAGGTAAATAGGTCTGCAGCTGCAGTACTGTGCAGCTTCTCCTGCCTAAATATGCAGGGGAACGGGCTGGAGTGTAATGATGCGTAAGTGCCGTTTGGACAGTGCCAGCCACGCGCTTAGCCATAGCTAAATGAGGCACTTGCCTGCGCCCTCTCAGCTCTGTTGTTCTCTAACGCTAAGCGTGTTTCGCTGCAATGTTCTCGTATCGCGCGAGTGTTACACTTTGAGCGCAGCGCGGAAGGGATACCCAAGGGTACCAGCACCTTTCTGCACACTTTCAGGTATAGTGTAGCTCGCTGCGGACGGTTGGGCGTGTCAGTGCGGCTGCGCTTGGCGCGGTGCCAAACTCGTTCTCCATCTGTTGAGTGACAATACTGTATCATATCCTTCGTATTACTCGTTTTCTACCACTTTTTGTCGCATGCGCGTTTCAACAAGAAGGCAGAGAACGGCTTTGACGGTGTGAACACTCATACTGCCTGACACGCCCAACCGTCCGCAGCGAACTAAAGTGTCTCCGGAGCTGAGTGTGCCGTTTGCCTTCAACTAGTCCATTCTCCACGCGAAGTCACAGAATGACTTGTGATTTTCGCATAGAACTCTGTGGGTTCATTAAGCATTTTGAATCCATATCTTCACGTCTACACGAATTAAGTACCAGAGTCGACCTTTCATTTGATCTGAATATTCTGTAGGGCGAAGGTCAGAGAAATGATGACGGAAGAAGAGGTTGACGAGAGATTTGGTGTTCGAACAAAGAAGAAGGTCAATGCACCACTTACTAACAAAAATGTTTTCCTTGGTGAGCCCTTTGCATACGACTCCCCATCCCTCAGTACTTGCTACCTACTTCAGGTGCTGCTGCTAATTCGAATCCGAATTCTAAATTTGGAAAAATGGGTTGTATGCTGGTAATTCTGCTGCGTCTTCGTCAGGCCTGTATTCATTTCAGTTTAACTAAAAATGTAAGATGGTGCACATACATGGATCAACTGGTAACATGCCTGAGTAACACGTGTCGTTTGAGGCGGTGGATATGGAGGCTTTTCAATCGATCGATTCTGAAAATCCGCTTACTTCTGAAGAGCAAGAAAATTTAGCAAATTTAACGATAGACAGTTATTTGGACTCCAAGACGATGGATGATATTACGTATATTTTTAGGCGAAAATTTGTAAGTGCCAAGGTAGGTTGCGAAGTTTCAATTTTGATCTGTTAATTTGGCCAGAAAGTTTTGGTGAATCTTCGACGCTAATGTTTTTCATTGGCTAGAGGTGTGAGACGGGATACTTTCACATTACTTGGGGCTTCTCTAGTGTTTGAGCTGCTTTTGAAAACTGTTCTCCCAATGTGAAGGCTATCGAGAAGGAAGGCAGGATTTCAGAGCAGCTATGTCTAAAGGGCGGATCTTCAAGCTTTCTCCCGATGTCAGCTAAGCTAAAAGCAATGGGCACTGTGGTTGGGGGCGGCAGGTTGTCGCCACGTAACTGGTGGAAAGGCTGAGTGGGATGTGGGCAAAAGCACTCTCGCAGCCCTTCCACACAGGGAGAAAGAAACGTGTCCAGCCATCTGGTAAAATAGAGCAAAGCGAAAAGGGTAGAAGAGGAAACAGTTCTTTACGGCGATCTGGGTGGAAATAGATGAGATGGCGTTTAGATAG